CTGTCACATTACCTGTTAAGATTGGTACAAAATATTTCAAATCACATATATTAAGTTAAAATATAATGATCTTCTATAAACATCCATTTGAAGTTTGAATGGCTTCGCTCCAGTTCTAAGATTTTGTCCAAGAATTATTTAGAAATAGGAATAATGTGATGTGACATGTGACATATTAGCACCATACAATTTTCACGTTAATAACTTAATTCTGTTGAGAGAGGAAGACTGAATCCTTGGTGTTTGGATCTTGATTATAGTCGAAACAATATCATATCATTTAACCATCTTCCATTTTAGATTTCAATCTCTTTTTAATATAACTTAATAATACATCGTTATTTAGTTTTGAAATATATTTTTATACTTTTAGCAGATTTTTTTTTTTTCCAAGAGTTTTCACCATTACTGGTTAAACTCGCTCTCCTGGCTTATCGCATTGGGCAATATGCCAGGAAGTCCCTTGGCGATAGAAATAGAGATGAGTCGCCAGCATCACCCGGACCGGACTTTTGCACAGGTTTACTCCTGCGGGAGAATCGAACCTTAGCACCGAATCCCAACTGAGCAACAGTCCACTGAGCCATTCTACCTTTAGCAGATTGCTTCTCTCTCAAGAAAAATATTACAAAATTTTATTAGAATTAAAGGAAAAAAATGTTCATCATATAAAATAATAAACCAGATAGTAGTGCAAATACGAAAATATAAAATATTATAACATTTTTGAAAATACTACAAAAAAGGCTGTACGATCCAATGTTTCGACTATGTTCAAGCCATAGATTTAATTCCTTTCCTTAGTTCTTAATGATAGTGAAATCCAGGTTTTACTGTATGGTGACTTTATACTTAATAATAAATAATAATCTGCTGAAGAAGTCCTTATCAATGGAATATTTATAATGGAATTAATGTGGTATTACTAAAATTTTATTACAACAATTTCTTCAGCAATTAAAAAAAAAAAATAAATTTATAAGAGTACAATAAAAAAAATGAAGAGAAATAGGAGTAATGGATGAATTTACTCAATTTTTAGAGAAGGCGAGATGAAGGGTGATGATAGATGTTTGACTGCAAAAAAAAATTAATCAAATAATGATCGTTGTTGTCACCATACGATTACCGTCATCGTCGTTCTCGCCGTTGCAGTCGTCGTAAGTTTGTGATAGGTAAAATATAGAGGAGAAAAAATATTTGTCATAAATACTAGTTTATTTTGAAATTTTTTACCTATTCACTCACGAGATAAAAAAACACTTTAAACTATTTATTAAAGTACAGATGATTTTTGAAACGTTTCTCATTGTCAGAGCAGTTGTGAATCAATCACTAGTTGCTTCAAAAATATTCAGAATCCATAAAAAAATATAAAAGAAAAGTACTTTTTTTTTCGAAAAAATATGCAGGGAGCGTATATTATTTGGAAAAAAAATTTATCTCTCTATGAAGCAAAACATTTATTGTAAAAAATATTCTTTCTGGAAAAAAAAGATTTCTATCGATGCAATAAATAAACATAAATTAGTTGACAGTTTCGAGAAAAAAGCCAAATCTTAATCTTTTCAGAGCAAATTCTGCAAATATTCTAATCCTCTTAAGAGATATGGTTCTAAAATCCATAGATTTCCTTACTCGTTCATCCTTGTTGGACATGGAAATTTTCTATCTAGTTTTTTTGAAAAATTCTCACTACTTTGTTTTTGCTTAAGCTCGACATGCCGGAGCAGAATTTTGTTTTGATGGTAAAAATATATGTGGGTGTCAGTGCCATCCAGATTTTTAGAAGCTCCACAATTTCAGTTTTATATCATATTTTAGAGGCGAATTATGCCGAAAAAAATCTCGTTTTAATAATTCTTTTGAAGTAATTAATATAAACACCAAAAAAAGGTTTCATTTATTGCACATTCATTTAAATAATTCATGTATTCATTTATTTTTTGCGGAAACAAATTTATGATTAAAAAAGAAACTCGAATGGTGCTGAAGGTTCGAAAAAGCATTTTTACCCTAATCAACCGATGGTTATAAAATTACGAAAAAGAAAGAGAATTTATTCACATCTAAGAAGAAAAATTATAGAACTATAGAACAGGCAATAAATTCATAAATATTTCTATCATCGATTGAAATTGGTACTATTTTTAAAGTCGTACTTTCGTACTTTTGTTTAAAATTTATAAAATTTTTAATTTCTAAAACCCTTAATTTCCTCAATCATAACAACGATAATATTATATTTTTATATATTAAATTATTACAAAAATATTTTTATTTCTTTATATTTTTTATATTTTTTTGTTCTTACAAATTCTAATTCTCGAACATATTATTTATTGAATCATAAAAAATACAATCAAAAATTACTAACAAAAATAATAATAATAGTAGTAACAATAATAATGGCAATAATAATGACGATTATGACAATAATAATATCGACAATAAATAATAATTACAATAACAATAATAATAACGACAATAATAACAATAATAATGATAATAAATAATAATTACAATAATGATAATAATAATAATAATAATGATAGGAATAACAATAATAACAACAAAAAGTATCATTTTTGATGCCAATATTAAAAAAAATTTATAAAAATGAAATAAGTGACTGAAAAATTATTTGCCCAGAGCAATCCACATTATAATTAAAAAAAAGGATAAAAATGATTTTTTCGAAAAATGATAATTTGCATTAATTGTGTTTAAAATTTTGAAATTTATTTAAAATTATTTAAATATTTATTATTCAACATATTTTAAAATTTTTCTCGATTTTTCCGCAATACACGTCAAAAAACTTGAAAAAGCACGATAAAGAGAAGATAAAAACATTTCTAAAGAAGTGAAAAAGCATGGTTGCCATTTAAAAAGTTAAATGAAAAGTTAGAATCGAACTTCAAAAAACCTGTTCTATTCCAGTGACCTAATTTTGACCTTCGTTTATCTCAAATTTGACCTAAAAATTTTGCTAACAACAAGAAGTTTGAAAGTTTAACAAATCGAATAAACATAGCTCTATTGAGAATATGAGTTAAGATAAACGAGCATAAATAGCGCAGGCTACTAATTCTGCTGCCTAAAATATCGAAGTTTTTCCAGGCTCCCTGCTTCAAAACTTTATAACTCTATTCCTTGCTCAGATTGCTAGGCATTTCTATTCAAAATCTGTTCTCTATATTATGCCAATCTATGTCTAGTTGGGCCTTGCCGTCTTTGAGACCATCTACCATAAGACCTGGCAGGGAATTTCCTGCAAAATGCGTGGGCTGCGAAGAACATGGTCTAAATAGTATAAAACGATAGGTATTCCAGTGAAAGACAACGGGATGACTTGAAAAGCGTATTGCCGAGAATGTTTCCGCTTTATTGCTAATTTTATTATCATTCCATAAAGATTTCATCCGAAAGGAAAAGGGATTTCCGGCTGTAGCAGTCCGGCCCGACCAATGAGATATCATCCTCCGGATTGATTTGCATATCCTTTGCGAGTGCCGGCAAGCGCATAATCCATTCTAAAGGAAGAGAATGCTACACTAGCAGCTCGTAAGTACAGATTTGTATTGATATATACCTACATAAACTTGATGATCTTCTCTGGGATTTTATTGCACCAAATGAGAGGCGACCTATCGAATGCAGCGGCAAAATCAATAAAACAAGAGATTTAAAGCGATGTTCCCATAGCCTTCTTACACATTATATTTTATATCCTTCTTATTCGTAATTACTACTTTAGCTGAGGGAGGTACCATCCTACATGAGCCCTTTCAGTAGAGAAGATGAGATCGTTTTCGACGACCGCCGTATTTTAACTTATCATATTTCTTGGGGAACTAAGAGCAGGATTGTTTTGCTCTAAATACATGATATCCATCTTTTTAATAAATGTATATTAGCGGCGGAGCGGATGATTAATATGGAATATAATTATTGTTCGAATCGCAGCCAATTGTTTCTATCATCCCCGTGAGAATACCAGGGTAAAGGGGATTATACATATATATATATGATTATATATATATATGACCTTCAGCCATTCTTTATTATTAGTTGGTTATTAATTAATACAGTAACTTCATTACTTTGATTACTTATCGTAAATTTCCACTTCCCACCATGATATGCGAAATTATAATTGTAATAATAATAATATTAACATTAATATTAATAATAATCTCAAGCATCGTCGTCTCTAGTGGTGGAACAAATTGAATATAATAGTAGAATCTATTTGATTTTACTAGATTTAACAGAGATATTAGAAATGCTGTCATAGCAGCAAACAATGTGCAGTTAAAAAATTGAAACGTCCATGAAAAAATGCAAAAAAACTCAAAATTGAAAAATTCCTATCAAATTAGAAATGAGGAATTGTAAAACGAATACAATATTCGATATTCAAGAGAATTGTAATTAGATAAAAGTGCATGATATGAGTTTTGAATGGTCCTAATCCTTATTTTCTTCATTACTTTTTTTGAAAAAATCTCAATCTGAATCATACTTAAAATCCAAAATTATAATAAATTAACGTATTTACTCAAAAATTATTCGTTTTTCTCAATATTCCACCAATTTGTTCTGCCATTTTTTTAAAATAATTTATAAATTAGCGGATGATAACTAGCTATTGCTGATAACTTGCTTGCAGATTTGATTCATATTTCCCATGAACTGTTAGGATAAATGGTTTTCTCTTTGACCACTAGTTTTATGGGTGAATACCGAGAAATACCAGAGATTTTGTCATTTGAAAGCCAATTCATGTTGGAACGAATCACTTTTAATGGGACAATTAACTTTTTCAGAGTATTTGCGGATGTCGAGCATCTAAGTTTAGCAAGATGAACAAAACAAGCTAAGATAAGATTTCACTGAATTCATTTTATAATACTGGGTTATTTTTTAATCTACTTCATTATTTTATTATAATATTTTTAAAAAAATATCACTCAAATTTCTTAGTGTCTTTAAATTCAAGCTAAATTTTCATTTCCATGCTGATTTTCAAGAACATCTAATGAATCGACTAATGCTCTTGTAAATCGATAAACATCATTAAAATTGTTATAAAGGTGGGTAGGAGCGACTCTGATGACATTTGGATGTCGTTTGTCAACCTGAAAAAAAATACAATCAAATCGAACATCGGATATATGCTGCAAATAGTGGTTAAATATAAAAAAGAATGGTGCCTATGATCCACATGCCACAGATAAAAGTACATACCACAACACCTCTTTTGCTTAATTGCTGATAAATGGATTCAATGTCTGCATTAAATTTCAACGAAAGTTGGCAGCCACGTTCTTCTACTCTTTTAGGTGTTATAATTGTACATTTTATCTAAAATTTAGCAGCGTAACAAAAAACATAAATTTAAGAAATTAATGGAATATTATTTTTCATTGACAATATTTTTATTTCATTATTTCATTATTTCATTATTTACAAAAATTTTTTTATTTTTTGGTCGGTCAAAATTACAAATGATTTTTAACATTAGTCAACAATAATAAAATCGTTAGTTTTTTATGATAGTTCCTTGTTCCTTAAATTTCTATTTTATTTCTATTTTTCTTCATTAAATTTTTCATTCTTTTCCATAATCCTTGTAGGCTATAAAGTTTTATCGATTCATCGACAAGAAGAAATCCGAATTAAATTTGTTTAAATATTAAAATAACAAACCTTAGTTTGTTTAGATTGTTTGCTTGAAGATTTCGTGTTTAAGAAATGATTAATGAGAAATTCTAAATAACCTGTCAGTTTTATTGACTTAGATCGAAGTTCTTCCATCGTTGTCATCGCGAAAACCTGAAAAATAGTTTTTTTATAAAAGATATCAAATTGTCCATCATCCGATGAGATTTATAGGCTGACATCGATTTAAAAAAACTTGAACTGAAAAATTAAATTTAGACTAAAAAACAAAAAAACTTAATCAAGGTGATAGATAAAATAAAATGAAGAAAGAGAAAATGGAATATATACTTGAAGGGAACCCAAAATTGGTGCAATTAACATCATTGGTGGATTGCTAATACGATAACCAGCAGCACCATCGTCCAAATCCAACTCTGAAAATTGTTTTTCATAGCTATTTATTAAAAAAATAATTAACCAACAATGAACCAATGAAATCGCATTTAAATGATTTATTAGATAGAATATTTAAATTATTCCTTTTATCGCCAAGGAATTCCCCTACGGCAGTCAGATGCTATCCAGAATATGAACAAAGGAAGATAATGAATTTCGAAAAGAAAAAAAGTTATATCGATTAGTTGATAACGAATTATAAATAAATATGTATACATATAAATATCGCGAACGAAAAATCTGGTTTAAGGTGGATATAAGGATGTAAAGTCTTACTGTTATCCATTAGAAAACGAGTGGAAGCTCGATGAGCCCACCAGCCAAGCATTCTTTGTCTTTTGTCTTTTCCATACCTCTTATGAACAAAAGCTCCTCCAATTCCTCCTGCACTCGAATTTCCATACTTGTAGGTACACCAAACTGCGAAATCGACATCCCAATCGTGCAGAGCTAAAGGAATATTTCCAAAAGCATGAGCCAAATTCCAACCGACTATACATCCCTATAATTATTGTTAGACTACGAATTAAAAAAATTTATTCTCGAAATTGAGGCGTGGAATATTCCTTTTATTATATTCCTTTTTATCAAAACCAAAGAAAATTATCAAAAATCCGGAAAAATATTTAATTCAGCAAAAAGCTAGAAGCATAAAGAAACAAGCAAATAAACAACCGTGGCACAGTTTTAAATGATAAAATAATAAAATTAATTTCTTTTTATAAATTCAGCAATTTTTTGAATAAAAAATGTGCCTTTCTATGACCCGCCGCCGTTATAGTGTTCATATCGAACAATTGACCGGTATAATATTGGATGCCACTGAAGAAAATAATTGACACTGATTCTCCGTGGTTTTCAATGAACGATAGCACATCCTCGATTCGTAAACACTCTTCGCCCTGGAATCTTCAAACAGAGATAAAAAATTTTCATAATCAGTGGATTTGATGTAAAATAATTTCGTTTTTATTATATATCACATCAGTTCACACATTAATCCACAAATGAAGAGAAGACTTGAAATCGTTCAAAAAATAGCAAAAATTTAAAGTAACCTCTCTTGGTTCCATGCACACCAAGGATTCTTCAACCTTACCACCTTTTAACTGAATTTGTGATTCGATAGCATAATGGTCAGATGGAAATGAACGAGATTCGATCAATATTTTATGCCTAGCAGGTGAGGGTTGGTAGAACGCAGTCTGTAGAAATATATATCGCATCAATATGCAAATTCGACTCACTATTTTTTATGGAACCTAATCATAAAATGCGAAATGCATATATCAATAAGCAAACAATGAATGTATATCGTCTTCATCGTAGATCTTTTTCTCCTAGCAAAAATTGCCATTTCTGGCTAAGCTACTGATTATCAGAGTGGGTCCGTTTCACCAGAGAGTCAACAGAGAATAGAAGTGTAAATGAATTTCAACTGAATTTCATTTTAATGATAGGTTTGTGCTGTCACGGAGAAGGAAACGAACTCACAATTGCTTGATATAGATATAATATAATAGAAGTAAATAAAATAGATAAAAACCGGAACCAGAAAAACATGCAGATTGACAGTCAAGCTATTCATGCATATAACTTCACTTGCATCGGCTCCAACCAATTTTGCAATAGCTTCAGCGACATATTCATCACTGTGAGCCCACGGAAGAGGTTCCTCTGTATGACCCAAAACACCTCTTAAAAATGTTTTTCTCGTCGAATTTCTTAGAAAATCAAAAAGACCAATTTTTATTAGATTCAAAAATCGATCTGTAAAAAACTAACAGTTCAGCCCACTTCTGCAACTGCACTTCCACGAAGTTTTTTGTGCATTTCGGCATTAAACCCAAAGAATTACCACAAAGATATATGCAAGAATCTTGTAGGTTCACTAGCGAAGGATCGACTGAAAAGCATCATTTTTTAATAGATAAATTACATTTCTACGAAGAGAACTATGTAAAACAAAATTTAGATTTAATACTGCTTATAACATTTTTTTTTAAAGAGTCCTCACCATTACTGGTAAAACTCGTTCCACTGACTTGTCACATATGCCCCAGGGAGTCCTTTGGAGATAGAAATACAGGTGAGTCGACAGCATCACCCGGATTTTTATACAGGTTTACCCTGCGGGGACCTTAGCATCGGCGCTCCCAATTCAGCGATAAACCCACTGAGCCATTTTTCCCTATATTGTATATTTGTGGATCGCCGAATCTTTATTAAATAAATGGCTCTCACTGCCAACATAACACTTTATGCAGCCACTTATCATAAAATATCTGATAGAGAGAGCAGGCTTAATAAATAATCAGCAGAGATTATCATACCATAAGGCAAGGATTTCATTTTCGGATAATGGAATTCATTTCTCAAGAATTTCAATGAATCATCTTCATCCAAAGCCAGCGAAAATTCATAAGATGCTATATCCGAGATATTTACCTTTCGTGCCAAATTTTTAAAATACTCTTCTAATTCCATAAGAGATTTCCACTAGAAAAATTGAAAGCAAATTAAAATTTTGTCGATAAAAGATGAACCGAATTTGAAGAAAAAAATTGTAGTCCAATAATAAATAATACGGATTCGAAACAAAATAGTGAATGTTCCATTTGAAAAAAATTTTCGGCGAAATTGGTGAGACAACGAATGTGCCAATCGACGTTTAGTCATTTATTTTATTTCAGAAATTTATGAAATATCTGCATACTTGCTGACCAACTTGTTAAAGGACTTAAAGGAGAGGCGAGCAGAACAGTTGAGAAAAAAGGAGGAAAAAGATGAAGCAAAATTAATAAATATCAAAAATCTTCATTTCGAGCATGTTTTTTAAACTGTAAAGTGAGTCTGGAGAGAAGTTTGGAAGAAGAGGATCTAGCGGAGTAAAAGCACTTGAGGAGGGTGGTCGGGTTTCATGATGAAACTCGGAGGGTTTCAAGGAGATTTTAAAGTGTTGCAGAAATTTCAAATGATTTTAAAGAAATATTGTATGTAAGTTTAAGCGAGTAGAAATCGCCATCATGAGCCAATTTAAAGCATATTTTAAAGCCACGGATTGCTCAGAGAACAAATCAATCATTCAATAGACTTGTAAATGATGGGGGGCATCTGACCGGAAACATATTTCTGGACAATTGAAACCGGATGGCGGCAGATCCATTTTTTTAAGTGATTCCCTGGCAAATTTGTCTCACCACGTTGTAAGCTAATACATAACGGTGAATGCTAACCATCTTATTTCAGATGAACACTCTAAAGCAAAAGAACAATAATTTTTTGCTATTTTAACTAAGAAACAAAGAGGACAGCGCATTAATGAGAGAAAAAAATAAAATTTGATGTGAAAATAATATGTAAAAATAATTTCACTAAATTCATAAAAACGTCACAGTTTAAATTTTTTTTTCAAGAGTCTGCATCATTACTGGTTAAACTCGCTCCACTGGCTTGTCGCATTGGGCGATATGCCAGGGAGTCCCTTGGCGATAGAAATACAGGTGAGTCGCCAGCATTGCCCGGATTTTTGTACAGATTTCGGATTCCTGCAGGGAATCGAACTTCAGCATCGGAGCTTTCAATTGAGCAACATCTCACTAAGCCATTCTATCCCACAGTTCAAATTACTCAATTTTAAATATATTTTATTTAAAATATATATTTAAATAATTTAATAATATTTTATTTAATTAAATAATATTTTATTATTTATTATATGTATATTATTTATATAATTAAACATTTAACATTTAATTTATAAAAGATTAAAATCGATAACAATAAAACAAAACAAGAAAGACCATCATAGGAACAGAAATCTTTAAGATAAATAAAGAAAAGATAAATTATAAAGACAAAAGAAAAAGATTTAAAACGGGTTCGAGATGCAACTGCGACGGCATTAATAAGGGAGAGAATAAGCGATTTTGAAAAGAATGTAGGAAACTGTAAAGGAAATGCCATTAGATAATCACGTTTTCCGAAGAGTAAGTCGAATGGCGCTGCAAAATATGCTAGGAAAGCAAAACAGAGCAGTTTGGCCGTCTCTAAATCGCTTTTTTCGGACAAACAATAATTGATATTGATGTTAATAATTGATATCAACAAACTATGATTAGCTTAGAGTGCGAAACTAACGCCAATTATCGTTAAATAAGAAATACGTAATGATTTGGCAAAATTATAACAAAAAAGTTAAAATATGCAAAAATTTATTTTAAATTTTAAGGTTAAATTTAAAAGTTAAAGTTTTATAAACTTATGCAAAGGATTTAAATCACTGAGAAAAAAAGTAGAAAAATTAGTGCGAAATTAGTTCGAGAAAAAGCAATCAAAACCAATATAAATTTATTTATTTTTTTTATTTAGATATAAATCGTTAAGCGATATTTAGATAAACATTTCAAAGATCGCGAATCTGGCGAAAAAACTATGAATTTCGTTCAAGCATCATGAATTTGGCACAAGCATAATCATCATGAATTCGGTTTGTGCTTCGAGCTGATTTTTTTCTAAGAGTCCTCCTCACAGTTACTGGTTGAACTCGTTCCGCTGACTTGCCGCATTGGGCGATATTCCAAGGAGTCCCTTGGCGATAGAAGTAGAGGTGGGTCATCAGTATCACTCGGATTTTCGGATAGGTTTACTCCTGCGGGGAATAGAACCTCAGTATCAGCGCTCCGAATCAAGCAACAACCCACTGAGCTATTCTACTCCTAAGGTGCATGTTAATATTTGCATATTAAATTTAAGAGCTGATTTACAAGCTATTTTATCTGATTGTCTTCTTTTAGCCGCTCTCACCAATAATGGTTAAGCTGCTCCAAAGGATACAAGGGTAAGACGTTTCCAAGCGACGCAATCTGATGCTATCTTCGACAGTAATAAAAGCCATTCCTTTTTCCATCGTCTAAGTCCATATATTGCTGAGCCTATAAGTTCAAAATCTTTCCTGACCTTCTCAGGCCAGATTTAGATAGATCAGACCTCGCTTTTGATGCCACCCAACACAAGCTTTAGCAAGTAACGAAATATGAGTCAACTCTTGTGGTGGGCGACGGAGAACGTACTCTAACAGCGAAGGCGACACTCTGTGATTATATTGTTAATGCAAGTGGTATTTGAACGAAGGATGCGATCATGTGAGATTTCATCCACGCTACGAACCAGCAAAATACTTTCGACATGAGTGGTCAAAGGCAAACAACTTCTCAATATCCTCCATTCTCACAGCCATATAACAAGATCGAACGAATCGCTTCTACATAGACGCAGCTTTCATTTTAATGTTGATTTCGCGACGTCTCCATAAAGATTTCGTCAACTGGAAAAACGTATTTCTAGCCATTATCCGGATTTTAATTTCTTTTTTTTTCTTTTCTTTTTTTGCTTAACCATTCGGTGTGAGATCCAAGGTATTTAAATCGGGCACTTCAACTTCCTTAAATGTATTTATAAAAAGAGGATTTTATCGGCTTCTTGTATATATAAGACGGAAAGACTTTTTTATTTACATTAACCCTTTTTATTTACATTAACTTTGAGCTCTTTTTTCGATGCAGTTATTTTCACGTTGGTTAGCTTTATTTGTATTTCGTCATAACTATCAACAAAAAAGACTTTTCTGGACTGATCTGATATTTTTTTCGCATAGTTTAACACTGTAGGCAAAAAGAGCCCTAACGGATACCAGTTCTTATTTCGAAAGAATCTATTAGTTTCCCATAGATTCTGTATCGATGCAAGTGATAAAATGCCTTTATGAGTCGAATGATCTTCAGTGGGTTGCAAATGTTTGAAGCAATGCTCCAACGCCTTTCTTAAGGTGAATATCTGGCATGCACAATCGCGCCCCAGCTTGAATCCAGCTTGAATCCAGCTTGATTAGGGTGCATCCTGCCGACCCGTACTGCAATAAGTCGATTGAGTAGAAGGGAAACAAAAATTTTTGCTGATTGTCTAGTAGGTTTATTTCTCTATAACTATCGCAATTCTTGTGGATTGGGAGCAGAATTGCTTTGCTCCATTCACATGGTAATATTTCTTTTTTCTATACCAGAAGGTGCATTTGTTGAAGGTGCATTATGAAGAGGGTTGGATAACAATTGAAGAATTCAGCTCGAAGACCATCTTCTCCCGGATTCTTATTGGCCTTATGGATAACAGATATTATTTCTTCTTCTATCAGAGGCTCGCAGTTGCAAGCATATGGTTCAGCGAACGTATCAGGTTATATCATTGGTAACAGATGGCGCTTCATAGTTAAGTTTGGCCTTAAAGAATTCTTTCCGTCTTATGAGGCAGTCCTTAATACTCTTGATTGCTGTCCCTTACCATTGCTGTCCCGTTGCCATTGCTGTCCCTTACCATTTCACTGATCGTTCCCCAAATTATAGTTGCTTTATGAAGAAGGCAGAATAGTTTTCTATTATCGAGCCGCCGTTCTCAAAGCCATGTCGCTCCAACAGTGATTTCTATCCCACCGTGCTGGTATCATTTCTTTGAAGCATCTGGTAATCAGAATCATCTGACATTCATGCTTTTGACAGCTTTTTCAAACAGTTGGACAGTTGCTTCCGATACCCAACTAGCACACCTCCTACTAGTGTGCCCTAGCATGGAAGTGGCTGACTTTCGGAGACATTCCTTTAGTTTGGACGAATATTCATTTGCCGTTTCAGAAAAGTCATTGATATTTGTTTCACTGGGATGCTTCAATAATTGAGTGTGAAATGCGTTCGTTGTCTCCGAATTTTTTAGTTTCAGATAGTTTAAGGAGTACTGTTTTCTGCGAGTTGCCAGTTTTATGTGAATCTTGGCTCGAACCATAAAATGGTAAGATCCATGAAGATTGTTCATTTCAGCGCCGCGATAGGAATGACTATCTATTACGGAACTCTTCCAACGGCAATTGATTGAGATATAATCAATCTGGTTGAAATGTTGGTTATCCGGGGATTCCACGTGACTGGATGTTTTCTACGATGCCGGAAGCAAATATTAGTAATAAAAGTTCATGTTCTTCGGCATAACGAAGGAGATATTTCCTCAGTGGAGCACCGGTCTCCGATGCCATATTTGCCAACTGTAGAAGTTTTATCGCAGCGGCATTATGATCTACGCGTGCATTCCAGTTTCCCTTGTCATATTTTGGTAGAGACTTTGTTAGCAGCTGAAGTTCCGCATAGAACTTACTTTTATCACGGTCATGTCTGCCGATAGAGTTAGAGCTTTGATACTGATAACCGAAATATTGCAGAACCTACCCTTAAAACGGGCATAAGGTTTCCGCTCAATCACAGCGGAATGGGCTTTGTCAGACATGACAATCGCTACGCCATTTTGCCCCGAGTTATCCGAAGCACCACAGTGATATAGCCAGTACCTCTGCTCCGAGACAGGATTAATAATCACTTGAGATCCGAAATAAGGGAGACGGACCTCCGACAAGTACGCGATATCCGCACGATATTTAGAAAGGGTGT